TAAACCGCAGGCCCGGTGCTCACTCGGTGTTTAAAAAACCGTGACCTCTTTTCTCCAAAGACCAGTCGTCTCATATGGATGTTGAGTAATGCAGAATGACTGCTTTAACCACGGTGAAAAAATTAATCTGAGTAGTGTGTGGCTTTGGAACCCAATCATCCGCGCTCTGGTGAAGAGCCTCCGGTTTAAGTGAAACTTTCTAAGCGAAAACTTCAATAGCTGGCGGCTGGTCAGAGTGCACGGCTGATGCAAAAAAAAAAAACTGCACATATGTTCGGTTGGGCTGTCAGTGTCAGCACGAAGCTCTTACCAGGATGCCCCGTCAGCTTAACCCACGCCGGCACAGGCCATTTTGCGTCCTTCGACGGCACAAGTGTGGGGGATGCGACCCCCCTCGCGTTTGGACCCTGATCGAGCTAGAGCTTCGCGGAGAAAAGAACGAGCGTGTTGCCCGAGCCGAGAGGAAGCCGATGATACTCAATTTTAAGGTCCTAGGCCATCGGTTGACCTTCCAGGTCAGGTCAATACTCAATGACCCAAAATTCGGGAGAATCGGGACCTGTTGGAATGTCGCGTGAATTGTGGCTTCTATGGGGGTTTCGGGCGGGTGCTGATCACGAATATCATGTTAGTTTTGATCACCGATGATGTCTTCATGAATTTAGGCGAGCTCGGGTCAGGTCAGGAAATAAAAGGTCAACCAGTAGGGGTCCTGTCGGGTATTCGTAGCAGGTGTCAACCGTCTCTGACAGCTTCGTAACATGCTACGAAGGCACCAAAACTACTTCGTAAATGTTCATATGGTTGCTGAATTCGAATTCAGCTAAAAAAAAACTAGCCTAGAAACGTATAAAACACTAAAAAGTGAACTGAGGTCATTAACCCGCGCCCGGCTGGGGGTCCTGGATTTCCACGCCCTGGGGGGGGGGGGGTGTTTGAACACCCCCCCTTCTAACTCGGCTCCTGGACCACGTAGCGATACGCGGAAGGCGGCGTTCGAAAGAGCGTCAAAAATAATGAGGAAATCACTTCGGTCAATTTTTGGTCAGGTCAAAGGTCAGGTCACCAGAGGTCATTGAAGGCAAAATTTCGCCGATTTCCAGGTCGAATGTCGAAAATTTCCAAGAAGCCAACGCATAACTCGGGAACCAATAGAGCTACAGCGCCGCGGAAAAGCGCATTCGATAGCCCTATTAACGCCCTTTCTGAGTAATACTCTCAGATTTGACCTAGCGTCAACGGTTTTGCCTGCAGGGGGCAAAAACTGCAAAAATAGACGATTTTTTCGGAAACAGTTTTTCTGCAATAACTTTTGACCCAAGCATTGTACGAGCTTACTTTTACCGGCATCGTGTTCCTCTCGTCAAGACGCATCGAATGAACTATAACTTGACCTTGAAAGGTCAACTTGAAAATTTGACCTCAGGTCAAGGTCATGACCTGACCGGAAAAGGTCATGTTGCATATCAGTCGATCCGTATTGTCGAGCTGAACACATCTAAGGCGTTTTCATCGCTCTAGCATGCCTCTATCAAAAGTTATTTGCGAAAAACTGTTAGATACCATTCGTGACCTAAGATGACCTCAGGGCATAAACAGGGGTCACGGACACCGTTTTCATGTTCAGTGTGTCTAAACCACTTGTAATTCAGTGTTTGGGAGTGTTTATAATGTCTTTCGTCCAAAGGAGGCGCATTTCAATTTTCTCCCATTGACTTATAATGGGGAGGTCGCAAAATTGACCTGACCTTAGGTCATCGATATCAAAATTCTGAGATATACATTTTGTACATGCTATTGCTCTTAGCAATCGCTGAAAGTTTCAAAGCGATCGGTCACTCGGTGTAGCTATGACAGACATTGAAACTTTTTATGAGGTGATGTCACTTCAAGTGACCTGGTGACCTGACCTTGAATGACCTTGGTCTGAAATTTTCACAAAATGTGTAGAATTGATGTATGATAAGGTGTACCAAAAACGGCGGCGCTCCGCGCCGCCGTTTTTGAGATATTCGCGAAAAACCACAAGGGGGGGGGGTGTCAAACACCCCCCCCCAGCAGGGCGCGGGTTAACATGACCTTCAGGTGACCTTGACACCCAGCCTTATTCATAGCACCATCATATCACATGTTTGAAAGCTTGAAACCACGAAAAGACCGCAAATGCGCGGCTAATGCGAGCCGACATGCGTTGAATCGCGACTCTGGCCCAAACATGGTCTCGAGAAATACATACTTACGTGCAGTTGTGGTAGCCGTTGTGGTTCCAGTGCCTGCGCCCATGCTGTTAGTTGCTAAAATACATGCATGGTAGAAATCAACGCTGTTACAATATATCACCCACGATCTAAAATCTATTTATCTGCGCCTGTCGTGTTTGCGCGACATCTGGTGGCACTATGCGATCTGTAGTTCTCCCCGGCGCACCTAGGTGGCACGGCCTGTTCCGTGTTGAGGTACGACCTGGCGCTGGCGGAGGTGGGAGGTGACGGGGAGCATTCATTCTGGCCAGGGTTCATAATGTCCAGGGTACGCTATGCCCAGTGTCAAAATGGCCAGTGCCTTGAATGGGCCAGAGTTCATAATGTCCAGGGATTGCATGGTCCAAATGTGGCCAACTGGCTGCAGATAGGGTATATTCAAAGAGGCCAGAGTTCATAATGTCCAGGGCACGATGTGTCCAGTGTTCAAAATGGCCAGGGTTTAATGTCCAGGGCACGATGTGTCCAGTATTCGAAATGGCCAGGGTTCATAATGTCCAGGGCACGATGTGTCCAGTGTTCAAAATGGCCAGTGCCTTGAATGGGCCAGAGTTCATAATGTCCAGGGATTACCTAGTCACTGAAAGTGACGTCATTATGTAAAAAACACGGAATCAGCTCAATGCAAAGCAGTGCAGTGCCGAAGGCAATGCCTTAGGAGAGATTACAGGCAATAGTAAATCAAATATTTTTAGGTTAAGTGGTTATGTATCTGGCTTCAGGCCGAAGGCCTGAAGCCTGATGCATAACCACTTAACCTAAAAATATTTGATTTACTATTGCTTGCAATCTATTCATGCGAGAAACTATTTCCTTATCCCTGGTAGGCAAACATCATCTTAGGTTAGGTTAGGTTAGGTTAGGTTAGGTTAGGTTAGGTTAGGTTAGGTTAGGTTAGGTTAGGTTAGGTTAGGTTAGGTTAGGTTAGGTTTGGTTGGGTTGGGTTGACTATGTAATCCCTGGACACTATGAACTCGGGCCCATTCAAGGCACTGGCCATTTTGAACACTGGACACATCGTGCCCTGGACATTATGAACCCTGGCCATTTCGAACACTGGACACATCGTGCCCTGGACATTATGAACCCTGGCCATTTTGAACACTAGACACATCGTGCCCTGGACATTATGAACCCTGGCCTCTTTGAATTTACCCTATCTGCAGCCAGTTGGCCACTTTTGGACCATGTAATCCCTGGACAATGTGAACACTGGCCAATTCAAGGCACTGGCCAATTCGAGCACTGGACACATTGTGCCCTGGACATTATGAACCCTGGCCTAAATAATACGCACCCGGAGGTGACTAGGGCGCAACTTCCCGCTAATATAATTTGCACGGTTCCATCGTGAAATGACCATTAGCGTTAAGGTTGCTAAGTGAGTCCGGGCGGAGCTACAGTTCGGTGTTTTGGCATTGGCTGGCCTCGACCCCTGGCCCCTTCCTGGGCTCTTCTGAAAGACGCCAAAGTTTAAGTCACAACTCACAGGTCGGTCAGGGTCATGAAATTTCTAGGGTTGGTGTAAAACAAATAACTCGAAAGTTCTGGAAGTTCGTCGCGATCGGCTGCTTTTTACGCGAGTTATTTGCGAAAAACTGCGGGATGGGGTCCGTTCGACCCCCCCCCCTCCCATGCGGGTGAGGGTTAAATTCTTTTGCAAATTTGGAGGCTAACGCCACCTTGTGAAAGATTGCAATTTATGTACACAAATTTAAGTTTGGTTTGATGATTATAAATAAATCAAATTTATACAGCCTTGTTTTTCAATACGCGCGAAATTGCCGTTACCTACTAATGAGGCATTACATAATTTTAGTTAATAGGAATTACGAAGTTCAACATTATTTTATCGATCGATAATTTATGTAGTTTATTGAATTTTTACCTCCCAAATGTGTTTCACATGACATACAAAAAAGGTTTCATAAATTATTTTTTGGGTCATATTCTCCCTTTATCAAACCAGCCAGTTAGAACTTAGATGGCGTTCGACGTTCGTAGACAAACCGAATGTCCGAATCGCCAAGTCACGCGCACGATATTCACCAGCCTCAATCGGAAATCGAAAAAAAAAACAGAATTCAGTATATCACCGAAGGCAAACCCACCGATTGTGCAATGTGCATGCATACTGTGGGAAAAGCCAGACAGCGTTGCGTTTTCAACACTTCTTCGCGTTACGGTTCAATGGATGATGTTTATTTAACAACCACAGTGCAGTTGAAACCTTTGCGGGTCTTGTCGGGCAAATCGGGGGTCTCATACACCACTTCCACGTGCTGTCCCACCGGCAGCGGGCTATCTTCCCCTGGCGGTGGGTTACCGTTGCAGTACTTTTTCCCGTTGACCTCCAAATAATCCCACTCACAAGATCCATCCCAGGACACCATATCAAAATCCCTACAGCTGAACTCCATAGAATAAGTGAGAAGGTTCGCGCTCAGATCCCAGCGGCAATACAGGCTCGTCCCGTAGTTGTCTGGATAGAACAGGCTGACGAGGGAGTAGGTTCCCGGTTCGAGGAAACCCCTTCCGCAGAACAGACCACTACTGGACGTCGATACCTTGGACATGACGGTGCAGAGGAAACCCGTGTCGGTGCCACTGGAGTCGGTGGTGAAGTCAATGTCGAGGGATTCGCCGTACAGGGTGCGCGGTGTGTTTCTTCCGCAGGAAATCAGCGCCTGGCTTCCGTAGGTCACCTTCAGGCGATCTTTGGAGCACCCATCGCTGTCTTCAAGCTGAAAGTCGAAACAGTCGAAACGGAGAATCCCGTGGTTTTAATCGTAGCTGGTAGGTGCAGGTGTAGTCGTTGGTGTAGTTTTGCGGGTTGTGCCGGTCGAAGTTGGGCGAGTGGATGATGTAGGCGCCCGGCTCCAGTGTCTGGACATCGCTACTGCACCCCAGCACGGGACGGTTGTACGAGCCGCGGACCTCTAGTGGGTGCGAGTCGAGAGTTACCTCCACGGGACCAGCTGGAACGGAACGGAACATGGCGACCGACAATGTCACGATGGGCGCCAAATGATCAGTGCAACTAAGGGAGCAACAGCTTCAAGCAGCATAACATAAAAGCTGAGTTTTGTTCGGAATTTGCCTTGAAATCCCGTTGTGTTTTTATTCACAGTTGAATCTAGCCTACGAGAAAGACAGCTTCTGAATCGTGAAAGTTGAGTTAGATTATCAATTGACATGATATATTGAGGCAGTAATGTAACAACTGACAACCAATGAAGTCCTGCTATCGTACCTTTCACCGAAGAGGATGGGGCAAGGCCCTGTACCAGAAGACAAAACAACAACTTCAGGCCGAACATGACGGCAATTTTTCTGTCACTGCTGCTTGAACGGCTCCGTTTCAGGCTCTTATATCGTTCGGCGACACCTGTCTGCTGTGCTTAGATATAAATTGACAATGAAGCAACGTTGCAGGTGGTAAAATTCGTGGCAACAAAATAAGAAAATGACATTGTTTTTACACTTCTTCGGACTGCAAGTGTGGGACATCGGCATTATTAATTGCCTCAATCCTGTTTTCCACCACGTTTGCTACTGTGGCGCAACTAACCCGTCACAAACAATTCACGACAACCGACCAATTCCTTTCAACTGTGACTGAAGTCATACCTCGGAGCGGCGATTTGAAACGAATCGAAACCGATTGACGACGGTCTGAGTCAGACGATTGGGGAAGGCATGGGGAAGTCACTGAGGCACTCTATAGACTTTGCTACGGCTTAGGAGCCAATATAAGATGTCACAAATGGTGGGCGTTCTTTAGCAGTCGTGCCCCGAACCACTCGGCAGAGAGCAGGCTACAGTCAGCCCATTCGGCAAAGTCAAACGCAGCGACCATATGAGCGAATCGGGAGCCCAGAATATGATAAGTTATTTGTTGAATGAACTGTGAATGTCAACCATGCGAGGCTGTGCACTGTGCAGGTGTGCTTCATGTCCATAGGATTCAAGAAGGAAAAGGAACACATCTGCTTATATGAATGCAAACGTTCGAGTTACATGCATTATTTTCCGGGGCGTATGCAATGCCAGGTTCAAAATGTTTTCTTTCGTATCTACCGGTTGTGGATTGGATTAATTCATGCTTGGAGTTCGCCACTTTTAGCAAAAAGATTGTGTGTGTCGGGAGAGGGGAGATAGGTACTAGGTACCGCAGGCATTCGTTTGATAAGTTGTCGGTAGAATGTATCCGACCATAAAAATAAACTTGAAGTAGAATGTGATTGCGCTAAGGAAATGCCCGTTCGTGAACCGGATCATGCACTTCGTACTTGTTTCTGGCTCGTCACGAATACTACATACTTGCTCCGTCACAATGACCAGAAACAGCAAATATTTCCGAACATATTCAACAGGTGTTCCGTGTAAGCATGCTGTGGTTCCATTTGAAAACTCGACTGAAACCGGGAAACCAAGAGGGAAACGGCAAGTAATTAACCGCATCCTTAGTGTATATTCACATGACAAGTGGGCGATACAGTCTGGTTCTGGTTTATACGTATGAAATCAAAACACGCAGAAGAACGGAGGAGTCATGCAGGATGTTCCGATGCATCACTGGTCGATGAGCTTCACACTGGCGTGACGTCAATGGCGGGGCTGTCGACCGTCCAATCACGGCCCTATTCGAAGTTTTAAATTCATTTAGTGCTTACTGAATGTAAGGTTAGTTAATTTGAAACAGCTAAATTCAAGCGACATTTATGACTGTCTAATGACATCGCTAGCTAGCGATAATGTGTTTCTCTGAAACACGCGTCTCAACATAAACTTTCTTGATGTCAATGGACATTTGTCTAATGTCTTCCTTTTCATTTCAATATTTCACGTGTAGGTAACTCATTCCCGTCTGTTTTCATCATCCACCATCCTTCCGTTCCGGGCCTTCTTTCTCGTGATCCAGCCCCGTCATATTCATTTTCTTCTAACGTTATGCTCCGTCTTCCCTTACCTCTTGGCGCTGCATCCATGTAACCACAAACGGTTATGGTCCCCGGTAAGTAATTATTTGATAATCAACGCTGTCTCAATGAATATTCGACGAATCTCATATGTGAAGTGAAGACTGAAAGGAATGACTTCGAAGGCCGGAGCACAAAGACAACGTAAAAAGCTAACAAGAAAGAAGGATCAATACGAAATTCATAGCAGTTAGCACAGCGAACAGCATCAGTTGGACAGGAGTCTCTCCTCTCAATATCCCTTTATCATTTCACTCTATGGCCCTGAATTCACATATTAGAATCTAGTCCAAAAGTGCAAACTCAAGCAAGCAAAAAAGAAATTGACATACCTACGACCGGAACTGAACCAGTGAACAAAGTGACGACGCGACCGACAATGCGTTAATTTTGCTATCGTTGCGTTACGCAAACTCGCCTGCGTGTTCTTGGAAGTTTCATCCACAATGAAGAACGGGGCTTTCCTGCCTTTCCCACTTCCATCACCTCCCTGTCGCTTCTTGTAAGGCATCACGAAGAAGCGGGGGTGGGCTGACCCCTCCGTGACCCCAGCGCTCGTGCAGCTCTTTGGAGCACGGCTCCGATGACCTCTGCCCCCTGTCACGGATCTAGTGATTCACCGGGCAGACAGAACAGAGGTGCCCCGCGCCCTGCTGGGAGGTTCGCCGAACTTCCAACACCGCCCCAGAGGTCAATCAAGGGCAGTTCGGAGCCCAGCTGGTAGGTCGATAGTGAGACAAGCTCGGGTAAAATATTTTTAATTTGCTAGTCGTGATCGTTTGAGTCGTGTTGTGGTGAGGGAATCACGGGAAAACAGCGACAGAGTCCTGATGAATGGTACATCTTTGGACGGTTTATTGGCACAATGATCAATGAAGTGTTTCAGTGGCTGGGATTTACGGGGAAGCGTAGAAAGGTGTTGCCAGTGGTAGCATTTATCATTGAACTGTATACAAGTCAGGAGGGGAGCGCAAGTTAAATCATGGAAGC